GATCATTCACGCATGTGAACAATTTTTGAAATAACAAATTATCCATGAAAACAACTAACCTCTTAAACCAAATAATTATAAACGAAATTCATGTAAGACAATTGCGCATGCACATCTCTCAATGACGGTGCCAATAAATTTTGATACACAAGTCTACATCAATGCATCGGTTCATACCTACATCCTCATCAGCTGATACGTATTATGAAAAATTTGTGAAGTTTTTATAAGATTAGTGATACTCAGAAGGATATTATGAGGCTTTTGAAAGAAAATTTAACATTTTAGCTTCTGATGTACTGAGGTATCCCATGAAAAAAAATATTAGCAAGAAACCATATTGAAATTGACTAAAATGCCGCGATTTCCACTCTGCGCAAATCTGATTTCGAGCAATGAATTGTGCCTCGACTCATTTTGAAAGATTCTAATTCATCGATTAAATTCATTGAACAGCATTAATTGATTAACTAGATTTTTCAAAAATATTTCCAGACACTCCCAAGCATGATTTAAGACTAAGAATCCGATTTCTATTGGACGAAGATTGTGCCATTCTAGTCGATTTCAATCTGATTTATTGTCAATATGTTTTACATGAGATACGCAACACAACAAAATGTTACGAAACTTGTGTCACATCGAGTTATTGTCTGCTGTGCTATATGTCTATAACTTGTACCAATTTAAACAATTATAGGAAGATCTAAAATATAAAAAAGTAAAATATGTGCTACCACTGGTATTTTATTACTAGACTTTCAATTGTTCGACTAAAGAATGTTTGTAATTCGATTTTGTGCTAGCTTCACGACGTTATTTTCTTTCGTGTAAGGCTTTCAAGAGATGCGTGAAAAGTCCGAGAAGCCTGCAGCAGTCTTAATGATGAAATATCGATCCGCGTTGATACGTAGGACCTTACTAAAAATATTATGTAAAAAAAGCATTCTTTGGTTGAACAGCAAAGAAAATGATAGCGGATACTAGATTAATGTGTACTGACGATTTACAATATTTTGATTGCTCTTCATGTCAGTATACTAAACTGAAAAAAAAAGGTTCCACACGGAACTTATTTTGCAACGAAATCGAAACCTTCTTAGAGGTTTCGTATGGACCTAAGATGCTTTCAAAAGACTTATAAAGAGTTCAGGATACTTTTTTTAAGGTTTCGTTGAAAATCTGCGAAACCTTTTTTAAGTTCCGTAGTATGTACGAAACTATTTTTAAGTTCCGTAGCACGTACGAAACCATTCTTGGCACTTTTAGGTTCCGTATGGAACCTTTTTTTTTCAGTGTAGAGGCAACGGACGCTGAAAATTTCTACATCTGTACTATTTCATATTTCCGATGATGATTTACAATATGGACACGAGTAAATCTCTGATTTCTGATTTTCTGACATTTATGGCAGGTCATTGTCGTCAAAGGTGAGAAATTAGCAATCAGAGACTTACCAAGACCTCCGAAAAATGAGAGTTTTCAGAGGAAAATAGTCAAATGAAAGTGCTCGGCGAACAAAAGTACAGATAATCATTCATTGAAGCATAAATTTGTTCAACTAATGAAACAGCTTTTTCAATAGAATTATTCTAAAAAAAGAGATTGACGATTTGACTGTTCAGACAATATCTTTCCAAACTAAAAGTTTAAACAAGACCCTAACTTTGGAAATATATATAGTAAATAAGGAATAGAAACAAAGAACTGTGCACAACTATTATAGAACAGTCTATGATTGAGCACTGTTTAAAGAGCAAATAATGAGTTTCTCATAAAACGATTCTTCTTTGTTATTCTCATTGAAAATCAACCATAAGCATTACTCTCTATTTCATCGTAATTTCTGCCGAAGTAGAATATGAGTGATGTTGTACCATTATCATTTGTGTAGGAATCTTATGAATTTGAACACAAACAGAGCAATAAGAAAGATCGAATTTAAGAATAGAATAATGGATTGTTCACCGAAAATATTGCAATGAATAACTTTAAATTCAGCAAAATAGTTAAAGCAAAACAATTGTTGTTGACGAAGTTGAAAATTTTACTAAAAAAGATTTCTCGTCTTGTAGCAAATCCGATTTCTATGAAAACAGAATTGTTCTCTCTCTCTCATTATCTCTTATTTTATGATTTTTCTTGTCTCTATTTCAGACTACCCATTACGTTCTCCGTCCAGCACCAACATTCATCCGAATGCTCGATGGCAACAGAATGGTATCACTGTGGCTGGAGGAAATCGACGAGGCAATGGAATCAATCAACTCTCTGAACCATGGGGTTTGTATGTTGATGATGATCAAACTGTATATGTTGCTGATACGTCGAATCATCGTATTGTGGAATGGAAATGGGGTGCGACGAGTGGCCAAGTGGTTGCCGGTGGAAATGGACAAGGAAGTGGGGCTCATCAGTTATCTAGCCCATATGATGTGATTGTCGACAAAGAGAGAGATAGTCTCATAATCTGCGATGGTTTGAATAACAGAGTGATTCGATGGCCTCGTCGAAATGGGACAAGTGGAGAAACGATATCTATTGTGTGGGTTTGACAATGGACGAGAATGGATCTCTCTATGTCGCTGACTATGGAGAAAATGAAGTGAGACGATATCAAAGAGGAGAATCTCAAGGAACAGTGGTTGCAGGTGGCAATGGAAGTGGAAATCGTCTCGATCAACTCTCTGGCCCACAATACGTATTCGTCGATCGAGATCATTCAGTGTACGTT